TGACCCTATGAACAACAGATCTAAACCCAACCTGCCCAATGCAGCAGTCACCACATCAATCCATCTGGTTGAGGGTCTTCCTCTCCTTTGCTGACCGTCTACCTTTCTGAGTACCATGTTCCTTTCCAGGGAGTATGCAAAGCCTCATCATCTTTGCCTCCAAGGAGCACCCTACTCACATTTCCTTCAAGACTTATCTGTTTGTTCTCTTGACCATCCACGGAATGTTCAGTGCTCTTCTCCAACACCACAGCTCAAAGGCATCAATTCAATTCCTCTGCTGTCATCCTGATTCACTGTCCAGCTCTCAGATACATAGCAAGTAATCAGAAAGATCACAGCCTGAATCAGATGTATCTAAGTCCTCAAAGTGACATCATTACTCCTCAACAATTTGGAAAGGTCCCTAACTGCAGACTTCAAAGTACAATTACATGGTGGGTACTGTGACTAGTATTATAAATCAAATCATGTATGAATGGCTGACTGGAAACCAATCTGCTTTGTAAACTTTTACCCAAATATTTTTTGGGGGTTGTTTTGGTTGGTTTTTTCTTTTCTTTTCTTTTCTTTTTTCAAAAAAAAGAGACAAAAGAAAAGATAAATGAGGAGAGAGGGGTGACTTTGGTATCATCAAGAAAGAAGAACTAGGAGCAGAGTACGTCCTTTGGCCCTGGGGTCCCTGAACTGAAAACCTCCTAGACTGCAGGAAAGATAGATGCTGATCTTGAAGGAATGCTGGGTGCACAGATGTTCACAGCAGACAAGGACCTTCCTCCAGAGACGGAGAAAGCCTGCCCCTAGTGCTCCAGTTGTGAACACACAACCCCAGGTGACAGCAGGACTGTCCCATCAGGTTTCCTAGATGCAAATCTGTATGGAAGCAGATCTCCAGGTGAGTTCAAACTGCCAACCCTCCAGTTAACTGCTAAGTGCTCAATCACATTTGCCACAAGGGTGCAGTACACAGATGTTGTTGTTGATTGCCTCTGAGTTAAGCATGACTCAAAGCAGACCTATGAACAAGAGGCCTGAAGCTCCTCTACAACTATAAACATTTATCAAAGTTGATACAAACCAAGGACACTGCTAGCTGTTGTTGCTGTGGCCAGTTGTATCACTAGAGTCAATCTCTCCACCCACAGGGGTGTTGTGGGACTCACAGAACCTGGGGAACAAAACCAAGGACTCAGAAGTATGGATTCCATCCTTGCACGGAAGCTGTGCCTAACGGCAGGAAACAGACAAGAAGAACATCACTTCCTGGGGACTGAGGCTGGAGGCAGGACCTGGACCATCATTTCTCATATGCTGACGTATATGAGAGACAGTCACTATTAACATGGAACCAAAAGATCACATCACTCACACCTCAGTCTGACGGGCCACGCAATAAGCGAGGTGCTGAGAGTACACTAGTGAATGGGGCAGATACCTCAAGGGGTTGACAGTCAGCAGGAAGGCAGGGAGGGAGTGTGATGGGAACAAAAGCAGAAGCAGCACCTATTCGACCATATAGGTCAGGGGAGGGCAATCCTGAGGGGGCAGGCAGAGACAGGGAAATAGGCAAGGAGAGGGCCAGACCCTGGGCAGAGGTCAAGGCGCAGGAGCTGAGGCGAGATGGGGAGGCAGAGGCTCCACCACCAAGGCCCTCATAAGCTATGCCCAGCACCTGCTAACTGGTCCACAATTAGTGCTCAGCTTCTAAAAGGTTGGTAGTTCAAACCCAACCAACAGCTCCTAAGTGGAAAGGCCTGGCGATGAGTCCTTTTAAAGATTGTTGTTATTGTTAGGTGCCGTTGAGTACGACCCATAGCGACTCTATGAACAACAGATCTTAGCCCTATCTTCTCCTGTGCCATCCTCATACCTCCTGACACACTAGCGCCTACTGCAATAGTCACTGTGTCAATCCATCTGGTGAAGGGTCTTCCTCCCTTTTACCAACTCTCCACCTTCTCAAGCATGATGTCTCTCCCCAAGGAACAGCCTCTCCTAGAAACATGCCCAAAGTACATAAGACTAAGTCTTGTCATCTGCATTCAAGAAGCACTCTGGCTGCATTTTCTCTACGACATTTCTTTTGGCAGTCTATGGGATGGATATTTAGCACTCTTCTCCAACACCACACTTCAAAGACATCAATTCTTCTGTCAACCTTATTCATTATCTATCTCTCAGATACACAGCAGGGGATTGAAAAGATCGTGGCCGGAATCAGGCACATTTTAGTTCTTAAGCTGATACCATTGCTCCTTAATAAGATGGAGAAGTCTCTACTGCAAACTTCCCCAGTGAAATACTTCTCCTGATTTCCTAACTGCTGGTCTCAAAGGGGCTGACTGTAGATCCAAGCAGTAGGGCTTTTTTAAACAACAATCCATTTTCTGGCTTGAGCCTCCCATTTAAACCAGATGAGACTCAGAAGTTAAGGTTTTCTGAATAAGCCACTTGGGCTGACTAGGGAAGAGGGCAGGCGCAGCAGCAACGGAAAGTCACTCCTGGGTTTCTGAATGATGGTGACACCATTGCTGGGATGAACTCAGGGGACAGCAGGTTAGAGAAGAGAAGGTGGGAAGACTGCAGAGTCAAGTGAGGAAATGAGCGATGAAGAGAGGAGATACTTGTTTGACTTGAAAGTCAACCCAAAGTTCCTTGAACTGAAAAACAAACCAAACCAAGTGCCGCCAAGTCAGTAACACTCCTTAAATCCAAAACCACCAAGTCAGTAACACTCCTTAAATCCAAAACCACCAAGTCAGTAACATTACTTAAAACCTAAACCACCAAGTCAGTAACACACTTTAAAACCTAAAACACTTGCACACTCATGTTTATTGCTGCTTTGTTCACAATAGCAAAGAGATGGAAACAACCCAAGTGTCCATCAACAAACAAATGGATAGAGAAGCTATGGTATATTCACACAATGGAATACTATGCAGTACTGAAAAACAAGGAACTCATGAAATATCATACAAAATGGGTGATCCTGGAAGACATTATTTTGAGTGAAATATCTCAGTCAAAAAAGGACAAATACTGCATTATGCCTCTGGTATAAAGCAGGACTGACATGGGGGTTGGAAAAAACAAAGAAAAGAGGGGATAAATAATGTATACTGCATTGAAACAAGAGAAAGAATTACTTAAAAGGAATATATCATTAGGTATTATTTGCATCACAAGAATCCAGAATAAGAGCTGCACAGT